ACATAAAAGTTTTGATTGCATTCATACAATCTTTGACCCAAAAATGTGTTTTTAATTAAAAATATGTAGCTGAAGGACTTGACAGATGGAAGAGTCAGTCGGATTGACTTTGATAGAAAGAGTTGCAACTAGTTTGAAATTTTCTGTTTTCAATAAAAGGAGGTGTGGAGTTGAGATCAACATGCAACATGATCAATGAGACAGCAACCAAACAACAGAGGTTTACAAAAAGTAGACATCAGGAAGTCAACATTTGGCCACAAATGACTGGGAGAGCATACAATCAAATGACATTTGTTTCTTTCCTTACAAGAAGATAATACAGATGTTGTAGGTACATGTATCATATGAAGCTATTTAATAGGCAATAAGAATTAATTGGGACTGATGAAGAGAAAATAAGAATATGTATTATTTTGCTTTTAATTTTGTCTTTTTTACTTTCTTCATATTTTTCAGTTTATGAATATTTCCTGATGAGAGTCCACTGCTGAATTCTGATAATTTTCCTGAAGTTTCACGTCTATTTAATTCTTTCTGTTTCCTAAAATTTAAAAGGAAATTTAATAATGTTATGCTCATTCTAAGTGTATAACAAGACATAAAACTGTGCCATAGCTCATTATGGTAATCTATATTGATTTTTTAATGTGTTTTAAATCTTTACCTAATGATGACAGGCTAAAATGATTTACAAGGTAAACATCCACCCAAAAAATTAGATGATATGACTAACAAAACTTTTCTAGACATTTTGGATATAAAATGAACAATTTTATTCTAATTTCATAATTCTGTGTACTAAAAGTTTATCTGTATAACATTTAAAGCTCCAAGCATTAATTTTGTTGTTTGCTTCCTTATAATCTGGGATATAATATGGTCTTCTATTCCCAGATATAATGTAGTTTTAAGGTTTTATTTTGTTGGATCCTCATGTTTGCTGTTTGGAGTTTTCTTCGATGGCCTCGTAGTAGCGAGTAAGGGAGGTCATTGGTTCAAACCCCGGCCAGGTCAAACCAAAGACTTTAAAATTGGTATTTGCTGCTTCTCCGCTACGCACGTGGCATTAAGGAGTAAGAGCAAAGACTGGTCGGCTCGGAGTCCGAATAATGTGTCCGGGTAAGGTGACATGTCTTCCTGCAAACTGTTACCTTGTGAACTAGCACGTTAAAAAATCCAGCTCAGCGTGTTGGTAGAGTTCAAAGCAGGGATAATATTCACATTACATTAACATGTTCTCGTTCTGAATATGCATATTAATTTGCCGCTGGATGTTAAGCAGCCAATCATCATCATCATGAAATAACACAGATAATGAGATTCATTCAGTTTTCATGTTTTTTTATGTACCAGTACAAGTGTTTCACAAATACATTGTGTATTTTCAAGAAGTACTACAAGATATGGAATTCATCCAAATGCTTAATGCTTGCACATATAATATAAAATAATATTTCATATATTATTTGGAATTAAAATATATCTTTTGGATACAAATATAACATATTAAAATAAGATGTTGTATGATTGCCAATGAGACAACTATCTACTACAATAAAAATAAACTTGCATGTATTTTTTTACTATAGAATAATCTTTGGTAAATAAAACCTTTAGCTAGATACAGGTAAAACTTTGCCTTATTTTCAACTTACTTTTTTTCTTTCCATTTCTTTATCTGGTCTCCATGGTGACTGACAGTAATTGAAGTGGGTGCTTCTCGTAAGGCGAAACTTTTAGCAAGATGTCCGAGATGAATTTTCTTTATGTGAAATATGTGTTTCAGACTAGATGGATACGTACTGTATGCCCTCACAAATGATTGAAATGCTGAAAGAAATGTAAACAATATTTTACAGTTAGGGTTTTTTGCTTGTGAGAGAGCTGTCTACATATTCCATTCATATTAATGTTCTATTTCTTTTACTGTATTTTCTGTGTCATTTGGTCATTTGTGGAGAGTTGTTTCATTGGCAATCATAACATAACTTCTTATTTTAAAATTTAACTTTCATTGGTACAGTTAAACAAAACAAACATAATGCTGACCAAAACTCAGATATACCCTTGGACATTACATGAATTTTGAATTTTTTTGTCAGTGTATTTTTTTGGTAGAATTAAATATTGAGCCTTACTCCAAAAGATATTTACATCACAAATGAGTCCTCATTATAGCTCATACTTTTTTTTCTTTGTTGTCTAATAGGTCCATCACCTGTTAAATTCAGAGTATAAAAGACAATCACCCCAAATTGCCAGACAATATAGCAAATGTTTAATTTTATTATAAACCTACCTTTCTTTGCCAATTCACCAAAGGATTTATTTTTTAAAATATAATTCTCAAAACACATCTGTAAATATGTAGCTGTCTCCTCTACTGTGTGTGGCACTGATCTCTACAATAATAATGGACATTGTAGTTAGACCGGTATATACTGGAATTATTGTGACAAATGTAAATAAAAAGTGAATGATTTATGCATTGTGACACCTGTGTTCAAAATTCCTAAATGATAAGTCATTTTCAAGTCTGACAGGATTATCTCAAATCTAAAAAAAAAACTCATTTGAGGTCCTTATTAATGCATTTATTTTAGGGTTTCTTTTAAGTTCTTTGGAGATGATATACTGACACTTTTAACAATATCTGTAAGAGGAATCCATCAGTCATTTTGAATAATTCACTGAGCTTGCAAAAATATGAAGCACCAGCCAATAAATGTTATTGAGAAATAATTCATGAGTGCTTTATATATAGTGATTTTACCATGGGTTGGCCCTTAATGCTAAATATTTTACCACAAAAGCATTATTTCTATTCTAATAGGACAATTAAGGCAATTCTTTTGGATCATGGCGCTCTAAGTGAAAGCAAATATTTTCAAATTATTATGTATCTATATCTATCTTTTAATTTTTACGAATATCATATTTTTTATTTTTTATTTTTCATTTTTCGTTTTTTTTTTCTATTTTGCATGAATTTTCTCTTATGTATAAATTTACTCCAAGTATCTCCTTAAGCATTGTATGTTAAATTATTATGTTCCCTTCTCTGTACCTTTGTTAATTGGTTTTAGAGAATAAAATATCTATCTATCTGTAAGTAAACACACTATTAATACTGATGAAAAAAACAAAGAATACTGAATAAGTTAAATGATTAAACGATTTACCATAAGATACCTATTCAGGGTTGAACGAAGTTAAGTGATAATCTTACTTTTATTTACAAAAATGGGCTTTCAACAAAATTTTTATCATCGTTTGAATATGTTTCCATGTTTTTACGACTTTCAGTTTCACATTTGTGCATTTTCCAGTAGAATGTTACATTCTTATGTCATTGTTCAATGATGCAATTTACACTGAATGACCTTAGGTAACTCATTAATAAAAGCCTATGATGTGGGAGTACCATTGGAACAGCTCAAACAAATCATGATGTTGCCGATCAGCTGACATATAATATATTAGTATTTTACCACAGGTGTGTACTCCAAGTGTTTTAAGAACGTCATAATAGAATTAAGGGAGCTGGGGTGTCTAAATGTTCAACGATAGTTTTTTCTTAAACTTCTGTAAAAGACTTCTGGGTCAATGTTCATTCAAATTTCAATTTAAAAACTGGGGGTCATGGACCTTTTTTTTTTCGTTAATACATTGAAATTAAGGATATCGGGAGTAATTTTATATTGGTCATATGATAGGGGAAACTTTGTTTTTCCTTATTGAGGAAACATTAAACGATAGAATTGGCTAAAATTACTATGAGAGAATTGTTTTTCATTTATACTACTGAAATATCAAATAAAAATAGGGGCCACAGGCCTTATTTTCTTGAAAAATCCAAAAACACAAATTGTCCTATCAAATTCAATACATTATCTCCCCTTGATTTTAAAAGGATATTTTCTGAAAATTTTAAATACACTTTACAACACTTAATTTTTTGATAGGTTAATCTTTAAATTTCAAGTTTTAGATATTTTTTGTTGTATATTGAATGATACTTGGTAAAGTATTTTTAAAACAAAAATGTATTTTTGCAACATGCCCAGAAGGGATACTCAGAAAAAGACACCCGATCTACCTCAAATGTTTTACTGGTAATAACTAAACAAAGATTTGGGGTATGGGTCAGTCCGACTAAAATCTATCAAAATACTAAATTAAAGTCATCTACTAAAAACAATCATTTTTGACAGTCTTAATTAAACTATCAAACTTAAAATCAATATATCAATAGGAATTCTAGGTCAATATTACTTTTGTACTATGGTCATGGTTCATCTGTAAAACAGTGCTTTTTAAGTTCTTTAAAACTTCTTTCATCTCCATTTCATTTAAACTACAATAAAAAATGTAAAAAATTATCTTAAAAAGACATAACATTATTTTGTTTTAACTTATACATTTGTGTATTCTAATGTAATTATTTTGTATCAGTGATTTTGTTAGGATGACAACAAAGTAAAATTCTAAAGCTAAATGTCTGAGGAAAGTCACCATTTTGATTCCCAAATTTAATAATAGTGATTTCTTCAAATAAGAGAAAAAAAACTCACATTTTCACCTAAAAATCTTCTTTTTGTCAAATTTTATTAATTTTCTGAAGAATATTCCAGTCCTAATAAACCAGGTGTTTAAGTGTGACACCAGAAGGCTACCTATGAAGTCATACAATTTTGTTGCCAAAGTAGGGAACATGGTTTCAGTTAACTTGTGTGATGTGAAATTTTGTCATCCAAACAATAAACTAAAATTGACTGTTGATAAAAGAGACAAAGATATTGTATTTGAAGCTTGGCTTATGTAAAACACAGGTATGACTTTTGCCATTTGATTCTTTTTAGTGTTAGTCAGAAGTTTTCCCTGTATTAATTTTTTTTTTTGAAGAACCAAAATTCAGTACAATCAAGTCTCACCACTTTTCCTGGTATGTTTATCAGCATCTTTATGCATTCCATCATCATTCTTCCTTATTGGAAGGTTCCATAAATTGCACCCAGACCCAGATTTACATCCAAGCGGTGCGGTATTGTTTTAACTATTGGTGATAGCAGTCTTACTCTCACTACACGATCACTGAGTAAGCTCACAACCCCAGATAAAGACGGTTAATTACATCAAACATTACAACTGTCCTTACACTAATTTTGTAGTTCACAATCTTGATATTATATTTGAAAGATATCAACAAATTTTATATTAAATAATAAAATTATCACAAAGGGATGATTTAGTTGTATAAATAATGTCATATCATACCAAATGTGTAAACAGATTTTTAATTTATTAGATACTTGAAATATTGCTGTGAAAAAACCAAATTCCATCTTTTTGCAAGGGAAACAACTCATGAGTACTAAAATGAAACGTTTGTAGGGGTAAATTCAGTAAAAAATCTCCCATTGACTGTAATGCTAATCTATGTCTTGAATTAAATTTATACCTGATTTACCTTTAGAAATTAGAAAATTTCATATATCATTCATGAAAGTACAAATGTAGCCCTATCATTTGCAACAATAAAAACATAGGGTCATGCGGCATTTTTGGGCATTCACATGGCCTTGTTTACAAACACTGTAGATTCGCACTTAATTCCTTCACTGACCCCCATTACTTTTCAACTCTGTAGTAAAAAAATTTAGTACATTCAGCATTTATTTTTTATTTTTTTTCAACTCTAGTTTTTATCCATCTATCAAAAAATATTTATTACAAACATTATCTACCAATCAGAAGAGCACATGACTTCAGTTTTATACAGAAAGCTCTCCCCCAAATGGGCGGTCCCTGATGACGTATATTTATTTACTGAATTTACCCCTATAAGGGACTTTTTAGTAGCTTTTCCCTCTTTTTTTGTAATAATCATGTAATGTATCCAATTTTCAAGTTCCAGTTTCAATACAACATTCATAAATGCTGAACTTGTAAAGATAGAGGAAAATTTATACTACAGCCCATACTGCGGCCAATGTATATTTGGTATATAAAGTTGCATATTGACTGTTTGTAAAAGAATGGTGTAAAATACTATGCTTAATAAATATGAATTGTTTTCTGTGTTTGCTTTGACCAGTATTGCAAGTACATCTAGAAACTAAAGTCTTGATGTACTCTTAGTTAAATTTTGCCTTATATGGAAGTTTTTGATTAAATACCCTGAAAAGACCACAAAAACACTTTTCAAAGGCTTTTTTAAGCAGTTTCATACAAAAAAAACCAACAATTATGTTTCATTTAACTAAATTTGTGTTTTAATTACTTGTAAAGTTCACAAAATGTCATTAACAATCACTCTGCAGAAATTCCTGTTACCCCAACATCAGGATGGTTTCTTCGCCAAAACTAGACAGACAAAACTGAAGTAGAAAAAAGTGCCAAATATGAAAAAATAAGACTGGGTATGACCAAACTTTGCATTTGGAAGATTAAAGTAACAATTTAGAATATTTAAAAGCAATTATTTAACATAGTAATCCAATTACAAACATTTCAACACTAGTTTCATAGATGAAGGGCATGTAATCATAAAAAGTTATCTACAATTTTTTTTAAATAAAGAAACGCAATGCGTTATGTAAAAATAAATGAATATCTTCATGCGGTCAGATTATTCAAGTGTTAAAATACTTGAAAAGTGCTTATTTACAACTTGTTCTACAACTTAACATGGTGAAACACAGCTAAAAAAAATACACTGTCAAAGGGAGGTAATTCTGATTTTCCATATGATTTTACACATAATGAGGAGAAATATGTGCAAAATGTGTTGTAAAATGGGGGAATATTTATGCCTTTCATTGATATCATAACTCTCAAGTGTAATTTCTATTGTTTCTTTCAATCTGGACACAAAATCTGATTTTTACCATATACCCCATGCTTCCTCTCACAGTACACTCAGTGCATCTTAGATAGCCGAGTTAAACATAGAAATTTGTGTAAAAAAACAACTTCAAATGGTTCCAAAATGCTTCCATTACATTAATATACACAGGAAATAAGTTTTGTGATTATTGTGTGGCCTTGGACAAGTACAGTGACAGAATGCATATTTTCCTATAGGGGTAAATTCAGTAAAAAATCTCCCATTGACTGTAATGCTAATCTATGTCTTGAATTAAATTTATACCTGATTTACCTTTAGAAATTAGAAAATTTCATATATCATTCATGAAAGTACAAATGTAGCCCTATCATTTGCAACAATAAAAACATAGGGTCATGCGGCATTTTTGGGCATTCACATGGCCTTGTTTACAAACACTGTAGATTCGCACTTAATTCCTTCACTGACCCCCATTACTTTTCAACTCTGTAGTAAAAAAATTTAGTACATTCAGCATTTATTTTTTATTTTTTTTCAACTCTAGTTTTTATCCATCTATCAAAAAATATTTATTACAAACATTATCTACCAATCAGAAGAGCACATGACTTCAGTTTTATACAGAAAGCTCTCCCCCAAATGGGCGGTCCCTGATGACGTATATTTATTTACTGAATTTACCCCTGTAATATGTTCCAGAAAGAACAAAGAGAGATAACTCTACTTAAATCTAAAATCATCCTGAGTAGTTTTTTTTATGGAACATAACTTTTCACTAAACAAATAGAAACTTATCTAAAAGTAATTTTTACAAGATGTTTAAATTTTTTTAAATTCTGTCATGTAGATATTCAAATTTCAGTATATTTCTTTGGATCCTACTCAGCATACTTGACAAAAAAAAGGTAATTGGTATAGATATCAAGGCACCCAGTATTTGCCACATTAAATTGCAGTGATAGGCTAGGTAGAATAAGAATTAAAGGCAAATTTCACACTTTGGTTAGTTCGGGAAAGCTATAATGTGAAAAAACAAGCATCAACAGTTCATCATGTAAATGTAAAATTATCTAAGGAAAAGGGTCAAACATTTCTCCCAAAAAAAGTCCTAAGTTAGTTTATAGAAGTAAACATTATCACAGCAAAAAAATATGTTTGTGTTTTTTTATCAATGATAATGAGTTGCCAAAGCTGATGATTTTCTTCACTTTCTGGCTAATGAAGTGTCAAATTTAAAAGATCATTGTAAAAGATATAGATAATGGTATAAAGCTTTTGTCAATTAATTTTGTTTTTATCTTCAACTCTTTTACTATTTTTGGCAACATTTATAGTTGTGATATGATATGTAAAGTCTTCATTGTTGGGGACAGTACAATGACCTTTATATTAAATATTTTATCCCAATGAACCTTGATGGGTAGCTAGCTGTCTCTTCAGTAACTTTGAATTTTATCACTGACTTGGTCATAACCAAAGAGTAGGAAATTAGTATTAACTGCTTCTCCAATATATATGTAGAATTTTAAATTAAGAGAAAAAACAGATCAGTTCATTGTAAAAATTAAGCATTTGGGTAAGGTCTTTGTGGGCTGTTGTTACTTTTTGATCAATCACATACAAATCATGCTAGTACAAAGCAAAGTTCATATCTGTTTGTCATGGTATTGTCCTGAATAGCATCCATCAATCAATGAATTTTCATAATCACCTGAGGCCCCCGGTTTTTGGTGGGGTTTGTGTTGCTCAGTCTTTAGATTTCTATGTTGTGTTTGATATACTGTTGTTTGTCTCTTGGTCTTTTTCTTTTTTTGCCATGGCGTTGTCTGTTTATTTTTGACTTATGAGTTTGAACGTCCTTTTGGTATCTTTCGCCTCATTTTTTTCAGTTATGCTTTATCAATTACAAACCTAATATTGTCTTTATTGAGAACTGGTACATATTCTGATTCAGTTGGCATGAGAAACAAGAGTGACTGCCCTTGTTTTCCAGCTCTAGCTGTTCTACCCACTCTGTGAATATAATCAGTGGCTCCACCTGGTGTTGTATACTGAACTATCCATTGTATACAGGGTAAATCTAACCCTCTAGCTGCCACATCCTGAAATAGAAATTTGATTTTTAATGATTACGGCTATTATATCATGGAAACCTGAAATTAATAATATTTAAACCGCTACTCCAATGTGCAGTCCATTAATCAAATAATCTTTGGCTTTATAAGTTTATCGTCCGTATAAAGCCTTGTTTGTGATAGAACTGTAATAATGTGTTTCCCTCAAGTTTTATCAATGACGTCTTGAAAAAATGTATGTTCAGTTCATGGAATTTTAAATTCATTATGGTTGATTTTTACCAATGTTTTTTCATTTGGAGCAAATTTATGATTTGAATTATAAGTAGAACAACCTTACAATTCGGTTTGTAGACCTGTATGGAGTTAATTCTTCAGATGAAATAAGGATTTAGTATACAAAAAGTTGATAGAAAGATCTTCACTTTATTCAATTTATTGATATACAATGATTAAAAAACAGCAAGATAAGTGCCCTCATTACTCACAGTACAAAACAAAACACCAGTATCTGTCGCAGAAAATTCCTGGAAAGCTTTTGTTCTGTCCTGAAACATACAAAACAATAATTAACGAATCATGCAAAACAAAATGCAGTGAAACATACACATTCTTTATGTGCCTGTCCCAAGTCGGGAGCATGTAGTTCAGTCGTTGTCGTCTGTTCATGTTTTGTTTTGTTTTTTTCGTAATTTGTTTTGTTATAAATTATGTCGTTTGTTTTCTCAATTGAATTGTTTCATATTTTTCATGTCAGGGCCTTTTACAGCCGACAATACGGTATGTGTTTTTCTCATTGTTGAAGGCAGTATGGATGCATATAATTACTTTCATCCACATCATTTTAACTTTGGATAGTTGTCTCATTGGCAATCATACCACATCTCCTTGTTTCTATAAAAAAAAACAATAGATAGTGAAACATACAAAACAATAGATATTGAAACATACAAAACAATAGATAGTGAAACATACAAAACAACAGATATTGAAACATACAAAACAATACTGTGGATTCATTTATTTTCGTGGGTACCAATTTTCGTGGATTGAGGAAAACTTGCATATTCGTGGATATTTAAATTCGTGGTTTTGGCAAAGTCTGCATACATTCCTAAAGAAAATTTGTAATTCATTGAACATTTAAATTCGTGGTTCCCCTGTACCCACGAAATCCACGAAAATTAGTATCCAACGAATAT